GGATGAGATGCCTCCTTAACATGCTGCAGAATGCCGACTACTTGAGGACTGGCAAGGTGCTCTACATTCAGTGGCTGAAGTGGCAAGATTGCCCAAGCAGCTGCCGCTTGACAGTCAGGGCACGCTGGCACTGCTACTTCTTGGTTGTGCATGGTTGCTTCTGCGCCTCGGCTGCAGAAATGCCCTGTAAATGCGTGATGTCGCCTGATATAATTTCCCCATTCGATTGCTGATGTGAATGAAACGACTGCACGCTGGAAGCCGGTCAGTTCCTTTGGGGCCGTCATGTGCTCCGTCATGTCTCCCAGGCTACGCTTTTTGTGGTGCGAGGCGAACACTGGGTGACTGTGTAAGCATGCACTGTTCACATCAAAGTGAGCCAGCAGCCACGCAGGTGATGCTGACAGGGAAGACGGTGCCCATTCTGCCTCAGCCCGTTCTTGCCTTCCTATCCTCAACGTGCCTCGGCTTGCGGCGATTTTCTCCTATGAACTCCGCTTCCAAGCATGGCTGTACCAAGGTGCTTCGGCTACGGCACGTTTTTCTTGTGCAACTGGGCAGGTGCTACCATCATGCTTTCATGCGCCTGGGTGATTCTCTCAACTGCAGGTGTGCACTCGTGATGCAGTTGTGATGGGTAGCGCTCTCTTGGAAATGTGCGTTCCAGAATGCAATGGCCGCTTTGTTGCAGTCTATTGTCCCCAGGAATCTGCAGCACAGCGCGCAATGGCTGGGAATCGTTTGATCCCCCCCTGAGTGTGAGTCTTGATCAGGGTGGTTGCGAAATGTCAAACCCAAGGTTCATTCCTTGATTCAATGATGGCTCCTTGATTGCGTAGAACTAGCATGCTTGCGCTGGCGTGCACGTCGCCAGCCGCAATACTTGTGCGCCGGTGCCACTTGCACATGCACGTGCGTTCGTATGTATTCGCTTTGAGTGTGGTATCCCAACAGGAAAATATTCAGATGTAAGAAGAGTGTTCAGCTGTATGGAGAATGTGTGAACATACTTATCTTCGTGCAACCACATATCTACCCATATGTGTATGAACGCATATCACATATACACGTATGCATAGATGTTATTTCACATGAATTTAGACATGTAGCATGCATATATGCACACACACACACACATGCATTCAGAAGTGTAATCACTTTGCTATGCTGCCGACGCCGCTCTTTTGGGTTTTAGCTTTAACACTGCAATGCCTCTGCCCACGGGCCACTCAAGCAATTGTTCAATTGATCTTGTTCCACATGTGAAAGAACTGGATGCAGCCGTAACATTGTGTATCGAAGCAGCGCAATGCAGACTGGATGGCTCAGAGCTCAGCTGTTGGCCCACAGTTTTGGAGACGAATGTTTGGTCTCAGGCTTGGAGTGCGCAAGATAGGCACACAACTCCCGCTCAACTTGTGGGTCGCAGCCGCACTTGCGCAGGCCAGACAGGCGAGTAGTCTTGCAACCCCGTCGGGGCCTAAAGGAGATTAAAAACCATTGTGGCGTTAATCGTGTTGCTTTGTTGAGTTTCGGCCTGTAGCGCGCTTGCACGCAGGTTGATATATTGATCTGAGGCTCTTCACGCAGTTGTTCGCCGTTCTTAGCTCGGCTTTATGTTTGTCCCGCATTGAATGTGCAGGTCCGTGCCCATTTGCCAAGGTCATATTCGGACTACTCAGACTACTCGGACTGCCGTTTTGTCAGAGCTGCTGCCATGTCAAGTCTGCGCGTGCGTGCGACGTGCGTGTGTGCGTGCAAGCCTACGTGCTTTTGAGGGTGCGCAGGTGGCTGCTATCGCGAGCGCGCGCGTTTGTGTGTCTTTGTGTGTCTGTGCTGTGTCTCGCGTCTCTGTGTCTTCGAGTCTCTGTGTCTCTCAGTCTCTGTGTCTCTGAGTCTGTGTGTCTCTGTGTCTCTGAGTCTCTGTGTCTCTGTGTCGCTGTTCTTTGTGTCTCTGAGTCTTTGTGTGTTTTTGTTCCTGTGTGTTTCTGTCTCTGTGTCTGTGAGCCTCTGTGTTTCTGTGTCTCTGTGTTTCTGTGAGTTTCTGTGTCTCTGAGCCTCTTTGTCTCTGTGTTGTTGTGTCTCTGTGTCTGATTCTGTGTATGTGCGCGTGCGTGCGTGCGTGCGCGTGCGTGTGCGTGTGCATGCCTTCGCGGGCGTGTGCGGGTGCCTTTGCGTGCGCCTGTGTGTGCGCGCGCGCGTGGTGAATCTTGCTCTCACCGTTGCAGCGCGTCCTTGCTACATCCGTTACCCAGGACGATTCAGATTCAACTGCAGGCCCGTGGCAGTGTTACAATCATTACAGTCTTTGTAATGTGCATCGGTTACATTCTGTTTCAGGATGTGTCTCGCATCTAGATGCCAGGCATTCCAAATGCTGGGAGTTCCATTTGGGATGCGGATGAGAGGGAGGCGAAGTTGGCGGAGCGCGTGCACAAGTTTTGGGTCGGCGTGCTCAGGAGCAGGCTCCACCACCTGGCCAATGGCAAATGAGAGGACTGACCTAGACTCAGACGGATTGGGATGGGGCTGCATGATGATGCATGCTGTTTGCCGGGCAGTTCCTTGCTCCAGGAGATCCGTTCGGAACACACTTGCCGGTCCACCATATGCCGGTCTACCCCCACGCGCTCTGGCCACCCATGCGCGCGTCACTCGTGCCTCGCGACATCCTTGGCTGCTCGGATCCACCTAGTCGCAGTGAATTGTAGAGTGCATCCGGGGATTGCACCCACAAAGACGCAGAAACGTCGCTGTCATGGCTGAGGCCATGCAGCTGGCTCATTGCCCAAGCTTGGAGGCACCAAGAGTCTATGACGGCAATTGCCAATGGGTGGGGAGAGCTGTTCTGGCAGGAAGGCCAAAACGCAGAGCTCTTCAGGATCCTGGCAAGTTGAAGTGCACAACGCACAAAAAGCGATAGGTTTTTGCCAGACGTTGCCACTGAGATTTGCCAGATTTGAGAAACGAGATGCGTCAACGGACGGGGCCAGGAGCCAAAGGCATCCCAGGAAGGCCAGATTTGTTTGCTTCGTATGGCTATGACTCGAGAGCTTGAGATGACGCGTCGCAAGGAGTCGCAGACACTCTGCGGAAGAGAGCCTGGAAACGCTTGCCGGCCAACAGCCTAGGGAATGTTGCCGGTACGGTTGCTGAATTCCCAGCTCATGCCAATCCAAGGATGGACCGCTGGAAGAGGACAAGTAAGGGTTGCATGTCAGCCAACTTGCTTTGCCTCGCCCGCGCATGCGTACACTCCCTGGAATTAAACAGGAAGCCCGTGCTCTCAGAAGTCCCTCTAACATGGAAGTCCCTTCACCGTCTTTTCCTGGAGAAATGCCTTTTTTTTTCTGGGAGGTACGACCATCTCCTAACATGGAATCTGTGCCAGGTGCCGCTCGCCACGGCAATCCTGGGGTTTCCCAAAACAACCCTAGATTCTTCGGGGGGCCGGTTTCGAGCCTGCACTTCCATGTAAACGAAAAACCGTGAGTGAAAACACACGTTCTGACCAACGAAAGTGTCCTAACATACAGCCTGAAAATGGGCCCTGCACTTCCATGTAAAGGAGCACACGTGTGCTTAACATGGAAGTGCAGGCTCGTCGTTTGCCCTATTGTTTTCGGGAGTCAATAAGGAAACTATAATTATGTTAGGAGCAGCTTCGCAAATCCCGGAGAAAAGTCGTGAAGCGGCATGTCCCCGGTGCGCTTAAAATTACGGTGCTAAAAAATGCTTTTTCCGAGTCAATCTGACCCCCACATGCCCAGTCGTACGTCGTACCTAGGTGGGGTTCTGGGTCAGTTCTTGGAAGGGGTGTGGGGGTGAGTTCGGTTTGTGTTAGGGGGCGGGTAGGGTTTTTGAGGGTTTGAGGGAGCCGTTGCCCGAACCATCGTCGGAAGTCAGCTGCGTGTTCTGAAATGCGGAAGCCGACCAAAAACCCCCAGGGACTTCTATGTTAGCATTTATCAAAAGCCTGATTTTTTTTCGACTAACCTGCAAACAAATGAAAAATAAGCTCAGGCGATATCCCCAACAGCATGCGGTGCTCTTTTTAGTGCTTGCACCACTCCGCAGAACCTCGTGGAACCCTCGTGGAACCCTCGTGGAACCTTACCTCAGGGCCGCCCTGGACCACCCCGGAGCCTATCTGGGCTGAGACCCCAAAGCTTTCAGCTTTTTGGGAATAAAAGCTTCGGAGCTTCTTGTTTAATTCCAGGGAGTGTACACACACGCGCGCGCTCTCACCTGAGAAGAGCACACGTTTCACTACAAAATAGGCACAATGGCACTGCAGCGTTGTAAGGATTGATGTTTGCAGTGCCTTAGCCCCGCTCGCAATCAATGACAACCTCACAACGATTGCAACCCAGCCTTATGCGGAGGACAGGCAAAAGCTCAGCGGCGCAGTGGCGCTTTGCTGTCGCAAGCAGCACCACGTTGATGTCAGCATCAAACGTAGACAGCATCGTGGTGAAGCAGCAGGGCGATCTGTTCGGGCGCAAGCATTAAGTGGGCATGGGCGAAAACCAAGCCAGCCACGGAGGAAGCATAGTGAGACACAAACAGCAACAACCAAGGCAAGGGAGCATCCTGCCAACCGGCGCTGGGGGAAGCGAAGGTAGAATGCCTTAAACACTGGCAGGGATGGCTGATAATAGGGGCACGCTTTGCGTCGCTTTCAGCGGGCATGGGCCAGCACAAGTGCTGGGCTTTTCAATGGCAATCCTTAATCCTTACCTTGGGTTACCCGTCCTATTTGTAGTGGCTGTACAAAAGGGATTGTGAGTTTAGGATTGGCCAAAACTCCGTTTTGAACAGCCCAGACTTACCTGGATCCAGGAACAACGGAAACGCGACGCTCCCAGATCCTCTTCATGGATTTCGTTGGCAATTATGGCAATTGCGCATGGGCATTGCTCGGCGAATCTCAGGGCGCCAGCGCCACATCGTTCTGGAGGCGGGAAGTTGTACGCATGCATTTCGGCCAATCTCCAGCGAACCGACTCGGGACGTTGCAGATGCCCCAGCTGCCCAACTTGAAGCCCAGGCAACGGGCATCTCAAGACATTGCCACTGTGGAGTCACAAGGTGAGCAACAGACTTTTCCGCCAGGACCGTGAAAGTCTCCAACGTGCCGCCATCGGTCTCCGTGAAGCACTTGCATGCGGCTGGGCATCAAATACTAATGCTATCAACATGGTTTGTTGCCATATTCATGTTGTGAGATTAACGCTTGCACTTGTGCTATGAATAACGGCTCCAAGCATTGACCTTTGGTTTGAGTTTGGCGTGTTTTGGAAAACCGGCTAAACATGATATTGACAGACGGGCTGCCGTCTCGGTCATCAGTTGGAGTGCGCGAAGAAGCAATCTCGTCATGGCGACGGCCTTTTTTGGCGAACAGGATCAAATTCATCGCTCAACTGATCCTTGTTACGTTCTGTCCAGCCATGGATTTCATCCATAACTAGGCGGCGACAAATGCTATCGCGAGGGCCAGCAGCGTCGCCAGCAGACGAGGGCACACCTGCTGAAGATTGCGCTGGATGGTTGGTGGGTCAGCTGCGAGGTGGTGCTGTATGGCATGCCAGATGGTTGGCAAGTCAGCCTCCGGCTCAGTCATGTCGGCAGCTTCATCGGAAGCTCCCTGCCCCAACGCCTACTACCTACTGCCACCACGGGGGCCAGCGCTACCGCGCGTGTGCAGACAGCTAAAGGAGACTACCGTGACCTCACCGGTCACGTTCCATTGTGCGCCCCCAAGCCTACACATAGACAGTAATTATGTTGGGACAATCCGTCCTGAGTCGGTGATGTCATTTTTACCCTTCCGAAGTGTACTTTTGCAACACTGTGGCCGGACAAGCGCGATATGTAATCTGTCGACTGACCGGGGCCGGTCCTGTCTCGGCATGTTTGGGCAGTTAGCCCCCTTTTGATTACGTTTTGTTCGCTAGTCGTGACAGCGTTTGCCTTCAGCGGACGCGACAAGAAGTCCAACTTTTCAGATAGGACTGTTTGTCCGATTTTGGGGCGTGGTGGGCAGTAGAACTACACATCCGTTTTCAGTGATGCGTCGCAAGGCTTTGCTTAGCATCAGTTTTTTGCATTCCTTTTGGGCTGGGTATCAAACAACTCGGTTCAGAATCTGGCCCAAAGCCAACACCAGCAAGCGCAATCCCACTCAATGCGGGAAAAGGCAAAACGCGGGAACGTGCGTTGCACGGGAACGGTCGTCAACGCATCCCGCTGTTTTTACAGAAGCTACAGACTGCAACCAGCATTCAGCTGAGGAGCTGTTTGAGTCAGCTGTCGGCAAGGCTTGGCTGGTTGGCAGCTAAGAACGCGTAACGCCTATCGCGAGCAGGTGACTTCAAGTAAAGAGGAGCCAGATACTTAACAGCTCCAATCACGTTTGATAGGTGCAGAGAACTGCCTCGTTGGTCAGTCGAGGTCAGCACATGTGTTGCTGACCTTCGAGCGCTCGCTCCACGCGGCAAAGGCGAGCACAATACAGGGGCAATCACTGGGGCCATTGTCAGCAAATCGTGAGGCAGTCGAACTCTTCTGCAAAGGGACCATCGACGGCCACATCATTGAGGCAGATCATACAGAAGTATGCTGCACACAGCCAATGAAATCTCTTGTCAAGCCAGAGCAGCACAGGTCGAACTACACGACTAGAAAGCGCAGGCCTCAGCTGGACAATTTGCATTGAGTGGAGGCGCAGTGTATACCTTGTTGAGGTTTGGGCGCAGCTTGCGCGCGCTGACTCGACTTTGTCAGTGAAGCCAGCGGGCGTGTGTCTTAGCGGTTTGATCCAACGCGCGGACGTAAACACGGGTTTAGCAGAAGACTGCTAGACACCCCGAGCTCGATCTAACATCCAGGAGGGCGTGCATGCCACGGATACTACGGATGCACGGACAAAAGCGCTGATTTGACAAGTGCAGCATGGCAGCCGTGGAGCTACAATTATCTAGAATGTTCGCTGCCATCACTACGCAGGGCTTAGCAGGGCGGTCCGTCGTGCTCATATAGCCTGCCCTGGTGTCTAATTGAGCATGACGTTTGCTTGGTGCAATGCCCCTTCTCGACGTTTCTTGTGGGACAGGTGCCTTTCTTGGCTGGCAGAACAGCCAAATGTTCGTTGCTGCAGCTGTTTTTCAGCCGTGGCGTGGAAGCAAGGCCGGACTGTGAAGGCGGGGGCCATTGTTGCACGAATGAGCAAATTGCACTGCATGCAAGGCGATGCCAGGGTTGATTGGGAGGGCTTTGCTTGCTTTCCCACAGGATGCAAGATGGCAATAGCAACCTTGGGCAAAAGCAGTCTGACATCGTCGGCATCTTGCAAGAAGAGCTGCGTGCGCACCTTGATGCGCTAACAACGCAAGTGAGAGCCATTGTCTCGCAAGAGCTGGAAACCAGCACTGCCCGGTGGGACGGTTTGCTTTGCTCACATCTCTTCGGTCCGTTGGCCAAGCCGTGGGAGACGCACACTTTGGGGGTGCCCAGGCACGAGTCCGAATCTGATGTAAGCAGCGAGAACAGCGGCCAAAGGGAAGCTGCATCCCAGGCAACATCCAAGCCATGCTGGGCACATGCCAGCGAAGGCTCAAGCCGCCCGCGAGACCTCAAAGTGTCAGAGCCGACGAGACGATGCAGCTCTGCGACTTTGGATCCAAAGGGCTGCTCCACGACAGCCGACCTGCGCCATAGCTTGCTGCACTCAATCGCGGAACTGGATGCGAATACAGGCAGCCCACTGAATCGAAGGCTGCGGAAGTCGGTGACGGCTCTAATGGTGACATTGCCGCCACCATTGCACAGGCGGAGCACTTGGCTCTCGACATCGGAAGAGCCACGGTCTGGCCTGCAAAGAGTGCGGGTACATTGCCAGAAGCGCATCGTCGAGACAAACTTGTTTGAAAGTGTTGTCATTTTTATGATTTGCTTCAACACGGTTATGATAGGCGTGAGCTGCGACTGGAATCTGACGCATCTCAACGAACCAGAGCCCACAGCATTCCAAGTTTTAGAGCGCTGCTTTGCTGCAGTGTTTGCTTTGGAACTCGTTCTGCGAATATTTGCTTACGGGTGGCAATTCTTCTGGCGATCAGATCCTGGGCAGCGATTGGCTTGAAGAGCAGCATGTTGATGAAGCTTCAGCATGTTGAGCCAAAAACTGCGGAACAAAGAGTGATTTGGTTCCAGCTAAGGACTGGCAGTGGAATTGGTTTGATTTGACAATTGTAAGCCTGCAGTTGTTTGAAGAGGTGTCGAGCATATCCAGATCGAAAAGCGAAGATGGTGAGATGAACCTGAGCTCCTCTTCAAGTGCCATCCGCATCATTCGAATGTGGCTTGTCTTTTGCATTTCTTGGCCTGCTCCGTATTCCCAATCTCTTCAGCTGTTGATGCTGCCCTGCCATTTGCTGGTCTCTTGCCTCTTGCCCCTCTGGCATCCTTAAAGCACAAAGCCAAGTTCAATATGCACTGTGCTTGTGCTCCTGCTTCTTGGGCTGCCTTCCAAGCAAGGTTCCGCCTCCTACGCATATTGAGGATAGTACGATTGCTTCGTTTCATTCAGGAGTGTGATTTGCATGGGCCAGGATATCAGTTTTACGTTGAAACCATTAAATCACCAAGAAGTACATGATGTGTTCCGTGCTGTCGACTCAACCATGTGAACTTTGGCTTTCAGCATGCAGATGGGGCTTCCAGCGGCTTGGCAGGAGCTTCGGTCGATGCTTCTGTCAATCCTGTCAACTCTCCGGGCGCTCGGGTGGACAATGGTGTCCCAGACCCAGGAAGTTGGCTTCGGATCTTGCAAGGTGTGGCATGTGCCGTTCCAAGTTCGGGACCGCCCAGGCTGCTTGTCATGATTATCTATGCGGCAGGCGTGTTTTTTGCACAGCTACCGGCCTGCATTCAGCTGTGCTGGTTGGCGATTGCGTTTTGATCGTGCACGATGCAAGGGATCAATTTCCTGTGCCCCATGTTTAGAGTATGTTTAGAGTAACATGAAAGTCAGGCAATGTTCAGCCCGTTGCCCAAGGTTCATAATCGATGCAGCAGCAGGCAACAGCAATATCATGACTGAAAAGCCAGAGCTGAAATTCTACTTTGCAGACCTGCTGCGTGTCATGTCTGAACAGGTATGTCCAGAGAATTTCACGATGCTGTGCCTTTGTGATCCTTGATGCATTGTGAGTCTGAGGAACGATGCTGTCTTTGTATCAGTCGATGACTGGGGGTCTCAGCTGGGATGATGCCCTCAGGCCACTAGAATCTTGGAGCAAAGGTTCAAGGAACTTGTCCCAGAGTAAGTGCCAGATCCTCACCCTGCATTTGCACCATCAGTGCTGCTGATGGTGCCTTGCCAGCTTAAGGAAGAGGCAGCAGGTGGCTGGCTGGCTGTGCCATATGCAGCTCGGCGATTCCAGCTGCGCGAGTGGAACCGTAGCATAAGCATTGCCAAGCCCAGGCATTGTATGTGGCATTCGTGGTCCTGGCCCTCACGAACATTGCAACTGGCATGTTCGTTCAAGCTTCGCTTGGAGCTCATGAGCGTCAGCGTGAGAAGGCACGTGGCCCGCATCCACCTTTGTTGGTCTCGCTCGAAGCCAGGAGATTCGAAAGCAGTTGAGACATCTATTTCGGACAGCCGATCTGAACCGCGACGGTGACCTGACTTGGGAGGAGTTTGCTGCTTGCTTGGCATTTATGAGCGGAACGCCATTCGCGATGAGAGACAGCGAGTGAACGCCAAGCGGCGCATCAAATGATCTGAGGCACGATTTCTGGACAATGAGGAGCAGTCCAGATACTTTCTCAACTGCTTGTGCATGGATGCTCGTGAGGCTAAAGGCGAGGCTTGCTTCATTTTTTTCTGGAGACTTTGCATACAATTTAAGCTTACCTTGGTCACAATCCTGCTTGATACTTGTGGCTGGGTTGTTGTCTGTTGCTTTTTCGCGCGGGCGTGCTTTTGCCCAATGGCTGAAAGCTTTGGGGTCGCTGCCCAAATAGGTGGAGCAGGTTTGAGGCAAGGTTGCACATCAGTCGCTCAATGGGGGTCTCAATACGGAAGGTTTCAGGGGCTGGATGGAGCGGTTGCTAGTGGCCGCATTCTCGGGTTCCCGAAGATTTCTGGAAGTTGCGTTAGGGATGCACCTGGGCTTCATATACCTGGCTTGAGCTTGCCCTGACTCTGCCACTGCCGCGGCAGATGTGCCAACCAATTTCCCAAAGCTGGCCTCTTCGAGGTTGTGCAGATTATGGGACTTGCGGCCCTTACACATTGTCTGGGAGAAATATTGCGCACGTTTTGCCACCTCGCAATCTTTGGGTTGGGGGGGGCTCAGACTATCCCAGGAGAACTGTTTTGCAGGCGAGGCCCAATTGTTTGATTTGCCACGTGTAATGCATGCTCCTGGAGGCCTGTTTTTGCTCCTCGACATCAACGAGACTGGGCGAGTAAGTTTTGAGGAGCTTTTGGACGGAGTGTTGCGGCTACGTGGATCAGCTCAAGCCATCGATCTTGCCACATTGATGTACTGCAACAAGCGCAGCTTGTTAGCATGAAAGCTCAAGCCCAGGCCTGTTGCTTAAGCCACGCCTGTACCCACTGCAACAGTTGGCCGGAGAGATCAGGTATGCTGACGTGGCTGCGAGAGAGGCTGAACACTTTACAGGAATCTGTCGACGCATTATCTGGGGTGCCGCCTGCTCCTCAAAAGAGGAAGGTGAGCGTGTATGCAAGTTGGAATGAAGTGATGACCAAAGTGGCTGAAGACTAAACTCGCGCACAGAATGCATCCACGGAATGCACCATCAATGTATTTGTGGCGTAACGTATGCGTGGCTGTGCGTGCAACAGAGTTTGAATCAGCCTATTATTCGGTTTGTCCACAGCATGAATTTTGGCGCCTTGTGCCAGATGTACAGAGCGCCTGGCATGCTTTTTGTTCAGGGTCCTTGGCAACCCTCGCCCAACCTGACAAAGAATTAAAGGCAGCTGCGGAAGCATAAATCCACCGAGCAGAGGAGAACCCATGGAGACCGAGGACCATTGCATGTTCACAGCTACTGCTGTGCGTGTCTGGAAGCTGCAGCTCAGCTGCAGCAACAGCACCCCAAGTATTCAACTGCATGGGCAAGGCATGCATAGTTGGCTCGCCCGACGAGGCATGCCCAAATTCCGACTTTGGATTGTGTGTTTTTTGAGCAGCATGCGTTGCATGGGCTCACGGAGCAAGACGGGCGACTGTCCAAAGGACGTGAGCGTGCTGCCTTTGCTGATTTTACAGTGCTGGGCGCAAGCATGCTCGGGAGTGCTGTTCTCCACTCAGCCATTTATGATCGTCGCCAGTGTGCCTGCAATGTGGCCTGTGCCACAAGGCTCAAAACCATGGCACAGATCCATTTCAGTAGCGATACAATTGTGTAGGTGCTGTGCAGGAGCAAGCGTTGCCCACCTGAGGCGACATTCGGGATGTTGAATGAAGACGCAGCAAGCTTGCTAGTCTGCCTGGCTCGCTTTAGGCGTGTCAATTGCTTACTTAGATTCAAATCAAGTTGAAAATCAGTTTCAGTGCTGTTTTCTTCGGTTTGCCCACTTATCGTGGGGTATTTTGCGTGAGGGAGGGCCATGGATGCTGGTTAAGATACTGGCAAACAGCTGGCGCACACCCGTAGCCTGCGACAGGAGGGCTGTCAGAGACGAACTGTGGTCTTGGTGGGGGTCACTGGCGATGGGAAAAGCTCAACAGGAAATACCCTGCACCTTGGACTGACAGTGACGCAAAGGGCCAGCAGGGACATACGCCGGGGCTAGCTCATTTTCATCCCAGGCCGCATTTTGCGTTTGAACAGTGATTCAGGTGCGGTTCGAGTGCCTTCTCGGTCTCCTCCGGGCTGAAATCTGAGACGCAGGCCTGGCTGTGTTTCACACAATCTTAAAGATGCATGTGTCAGTCTCAGGAGCTGGCTCATGCGGACTACCTGCGGGGTGCCATGTTCTGGCGCGTGATTGACACGGTCGGCTTGCATGACACGGGCTTGTCGCAAAAGGAGGCGCCACTGTCGCTGCACAGGTCTCCATTCACAGCTCCATTCACAGCCAAAGCAAGGTCCAAGGGGCTTGGCATGGCTTGGCCTAGGCTTGTTTGTTCATGTTACTGTCGCAGCGGCTGAAGAAGGGAAACACTCATGTCACAGACGGCCGGACCAGAAGGCCCAACCATCAACCGCTGAATTCTGACCCTCGTGATTTGAGGTGTTCGATCGTTTTTCGACCTTCTCAGAGGCGGCTTCCGAAGGCCGGGGAGGGGGGGGCGGGGTGCTGGCAAAGGGATTGTCGCATCGCGTCATAAATTGGAGTTGCCATGTTATGCATGATGCATGCCAAGTGTGTTGACAAAGGCTTGAATCCTTCGATGTCCTTTGTTTGCTTCTATTTGCTGAGCGTTGGCCTTGTCTTGGCTTCTTTTTTTTGAGCTCAAGTCAGCAGCGCTAGCATCAGTTGACCTGCTACGATGTTTCTGCCCGTTAGGAATCAGAACCCAGCCATGGCAGGAATTGATGCCTTCCTCTTCGTTATTCGCTGGGGGCGGTTCAAGCCGGAGCATGATGAGGCCCTTGCAGCCTTTGCATCGAACTGTGGTGAGGCAGCCTTGCGTGACTTGACATGCATTGGGATGTCATGTGAATGTCATGTGAATGATGCGGTCCGCACAGCTGTCATGTGCTGATTGTGAAGCCGCATGTAAGCCAAGGCCACACAATCATTGTTTTCACGCACTGCGAGGAAGATGTCCAGCTAAAAGATGTGGATGCTTGGTTGACATCTTGGGATTTTGATGTTTTCGGCCGTGTGGTTTGACGGTGCTTCGTGCGGAACGAGGAGCCATCCGCTCCTTCTTCATTGAGACACTGGCTTGAAAGAATTGGTGCCTTTGCATCCCAACATGCTCAAGTCACAAGATGGTTGCACCTTTGGAATGTAGCTGCGTGCCTGCTTGCTTCCAGCTGTTTTGTTCTACCCCTGCAAGGTGGCGGTGTGGTAGGCGTAAACAACCCGGATGGTGCGGCTGCCCGGGGGCGAGTCCAAGCTGCCCTGGAACGAGTCTTGGCATGTGTTGATTGGCAGGCCGAGCGAATTGCAGCCCTTGAATTTGAATTAGACGTTAGTTATTTGGTGTTGAGACTACCGACCTGGGGGTAAGGAATGGTGGACAGCTTGGCCGGCCTGCGCTACAGCAATGATGCTGCGGCCTCAACAAGTGGCATGCACACCGAGAGGTAGACACCATGCACTATGCATGGACATATCCATGCATGTGAATGTTTATGCATTCACATATGTGCATTTGACATGCTTGCCTTTCTGGATAGGACACCTTTTGGTGAAAATACAGACCTGACGACAGAAAGGAGACAACATTTCATAAGTATCCTGTGCACTCTGCGGGAAAGTGCGGTTAGTAAGTGTATCCACTCGGAGCTGGAGGAAGCGGCACTTAGTAATTAGCGTGGAACTGGAGGCCTGCTGCTACTGCTACAACTTCTACTTCCCTCCATCCCACCTCATCTTATCTCATCCCATCCATCCCTTCCGTCCCATCCCACCCCATCCGTCCCATCCATCCCATCGGTCTCATCCATCCTATCCCATTTGCCCCAGCGGTAGTAGCAGCAGCACCAGTAGTATCAGTAGCAGAAATGGCAGTAGCAGCAGCAGTGGTAGCAGTAGAAGCAGTAGTAGCAGTAGTGTGGATGGAAGGAAGGATGGATGGAATGGGATGAGATGGATGGGATGGATGAGTTGGATGGGATGGATGGGATGGATGGGATGGATGGGATGGATGGGATGGATGGGATGCATGGGATGCATGGGATGCATGGGATGGATGGGATGGATGGGATGGATGGGATGAACCTTGACTGCTAGTGGGTTAGATCTTTAGATTTTATCGGTTTGGGAAATGAAGGGTTATCCGGCGGTTATCCATAGAACCCACAAAAAGTTAAACTTTTTGCAGAGGGGTCAACAGCAATCAAGGGATGGGATGGATGGAGGGATGGATGGATGGATGCATGGATGGATTGGATAGAAGCTTAGTAGACAGATGAAGCTGAACAGGTAGACAGATAGATAGATATATTAATGGACAAATAAACAGAGAAATGGATCTAGATTCCGATAGAAAGATAGACGGGTTCACAAATAGATAGACGGGTGGATAGACAGATAGACAGGTAGGTAGACAGATCGGTAGATAGACCAAACAAATAGAAAGATAGATAGATGGGATGGATGGATAGATGGATAGCCACACATACCGACAAATGGATAGATGGAAGTATTTGATAGATGAATGGATAAGTGGATGGATAGATAGATACATGGATAGATAGATGGATATATATATATATATGTATTTGAAAAAGAGAAATAAAGCAAAGGAAGAAAAGGAAGGACAACAGGAAGGAAAACAAGATGGATAGATTGATTAGATAGAAAGGCAGGTAGATAGATAGAAAGAATCATTAGGCAGATCGATGGACGAATTGGTAGATAGATAGATGGATAGATGGACAGATGAATAGAGAAAGAGAGTGAGAAACAGAAAAGGGATAGGAAGAAAAAGAGAAGGAGCAATAATGATACACAGACCGCACTGCTGACATAGAAGCTTTCGCTCACAGTGGTACATGTTTGTTGTTTGGAATGCTTAGATCGAATTGACACTGAAGATGTAGATTCTGGTGTGTGCGAGTGTCTGTGTGTGTGAAGTATAGTGTCGCGTTCGCGCGTGTGCATGCAAACACACACACACAAACGCAACCACGACCACAAACACAACCACAACCGCAGCCGCAACCGCAAGCGTAGCCGCGACCGCAAGCGCAAACCCACGCGCAAACACAACTACAGACACGCACACCCACAACCCACAACCCACAACTCACATCACACAGCTCACAGCACACAGCGCAAACACACACTCTCACACCCACGGTGAGCTTTGTGCTGAAAGAAAGCAGGGGAGTACTTACACTTATTCACATACTTACATGCGCATCTTTTGCGTGGTGGCTTAAAAAGCGCAGCGAACCACGAGGTGTTGGCAGAAGCCCGGCGAAAAGTGAAGGAAGCAGAGGAAGCTGAGAGCAGAGCTTTTGCCGCGGCAGTTGCAGAGTGGCGACGCACCAGTGGTCCAGTCGGCTGGCCGCAGCTCAGTGCTTGCTTGGCACACATCGCAAAGATTGCAAAAGTGTTGGGCTGTCTGGAAACGTGATCAACTTGGATCCTTTGTGAACTTTGTGTTGGGCACGGAGCTGCCCCGATCCGGCCCCAGTGCCCTTGTTCTGCAGGTTGTTATCGAGCGTGAGGCTGGGGTGATCACCAGACCACCGATCAACAAGTGTGCTGCCCAGATATGGGCCCCTGATACTTTCGTGCCTGTGCAGTTTGTTTTGCCATGAGGTGACTTGCAATCCGGGTACTTCCGCCTGACGAAGAAATCCTTCAGAATGCGGAGGTGCAGAAGCTAGGCAGTCAGCATCAGCCTGCTGATGTGTCCAACTCGTCGCTTGTAGTTGTAGATAACATGAGCAAAGATCACTGTGCAGCCATTTTGGCTTCAGACTCTGATCTGAAGAGTGAAAGGTTGTGCCAGGCTTTCGCGCATGCATACCCAACCACCGTTTCCAGAGCACAATCGTACTGAAGCATCCAAAAGCCTTGAGCCATGACCCTTCGATGCTCAGAGTCCAACGAGATGCCAGCGATGCCAGAGGATGTCCGGGATGTCTGCATGTCAGATCGTCTCATTCCCTCCCGGGGCTCTTGCAACGAGGTCCGACAACTCAAGCTCGAGAGGGATGAGAACTGGGCGCCTCAGAATGGCTACCACGAAGTCCTCTCCCAAAATGTTCTAGGGAAACAAGCCTTGAGCAATGTGAAGATCCTTAGCTACCAACACAAGCCTGCGCGCCAAGAGCCGCATCTCAGTGAGCTCAAGGTGCTGTACAGCAGCAACCGGGATGCTAAAACTGGGGCAAGGCCTTGCCGGCACCTGCCACCCAGTGCAACCAAAGTGCTGGATGCACCCGGCATTCTGGATGATTTTTACAGCCATCCGGTGGATTGGTCATCGCAGAACATCGTTGCTGTGGCCTTATCTGATATGGCATTCCTCTTTGATGCTTGCACCGGCAGCACTCAGAAGCTTCTCCAGTTGTCGAGTGGCTCAGTCACAACTCTGCGATGGTCTGAATCAGGTGGACATCTGAGTGTTGGTACATCATCCGGTGAGGTGCAGATTTGGGATGCTGCAGCGCAGAGGCAACTGCGCAACTTGCGCGGGCACACTGGCAGGATCGGCGCCCTGGCATGGCACAAACACATGCTGAGCAGCGGGAGCGCAGATTCTGAGATTCACCAGCATGATGTGCGAGTTCGTGATCATTTGGTGGGCCGGTTGGCAGCGCATGCGGATTTGGTCTGTGGTTTGGACTTCAACTCCGAAGGGATGTTGGCATCAGGAGGGAATGACAACATGGTGTGCATTTGGGAAACAGCAACCTCCGAGAGCCCCTTGCACACCTTCACCGAACATCAAGCAGCCGTCAAGGCCCTGAAATGGTGCCCTTGGCAGCGGCACGTTCTTGCAACGGGGGGAGGCTCAGCAGATCGCCAAATTTGCCTATGGAATGCTTCCAGCGGCAGGTTGCTCATGTCCACCAATGCAGAGAGTCAGGTCACCGGCGTGGTATGGGGTCTGCAGGAGCGCGAACTTCTGACAGCGCACGGCTACTCCAGGAACCAGCTGTCACTGTGGAAGTATCCGTCACTGGTGAAGGTCGGCGATCTTGAAGGTCACGAGGGCAGACTCTTGGGCCTTGCCCAGAGTCCAGATGGCTCAATGATTTGCTCTTCCTCAGCTGACGAGACCTTGAGGTTTTGGCGGGTGTTCTCTCCCTCAGTGGACAAGAGCACGGCTCCCGGGAAAAAGGGGACCACCAACACGATTCTGAAGACCATCAGATAGCACGCTGAATGCCACAGTTTTTTAGCGATGGCCCTGGATGGGACTGCGGGAAGTGACAGCTTCAGCACCAAAGCGAGCAGTTTGTCAGGCTCATAAGCCCCGTCAAGAAGCCATCGATTTTCATCAAATGTCGTGCATGGAATTCTGGCGTAAAATGCTCTGATATTTCTGACAATGTTGGTTGACTGCGGGTCCTGCTGATTCCGCTGAAACAAAAAAGACGCGGAGATCAGCCTGCTCCCGAATCAGCTGAGCTGGCAATGTGCTTTCGGAAAGTGTTCATGTGGCTTTGTTGGCCTTTCAGTTTCTGCTGTCCTTGTGCAAGCCAGGTTGCGGAGCATGCGGCGAAGCATAGATGAGAGGCTTTGCGACAAGGGCGAGGTCAGAATGAGAAGAACAGTCGAGAATGCAAGTAAAGCCATTTTTTGGTCTGTCAAATACGTGTGGGTGCGCACCTGGAGCATTTCCTTCGCTGGAGTGGCTTACGCTTCGCTTGCAGGAGGCTTAGAGGATGTTGGGTTGACAGTTCTGATCACGAAGGTTAAGTAGGGTGTGTGTGTGTGTGTGTTAATCTTTGGCTTGCAGCTTCACTTCAGCAACTTACAACACCAGCATCAGTCTACAGTCTACGTAACATTGAGGAAGCATGAAGCTGCCCCATGGTGTCATGGTTTGCTTGTGGGGGAAGGGCAAGTTTGCCAAAAGACACGTACCAGCGGGGGAGAAGCCATGGCATGGAGATGACTCGAGCGGATGAAGCAGCTTCGGATTGGATTGTCTATACTGGTATTGCTTGTACGTTGGGCCTGAGCAGGAGTTGCATGGGCCCTGACTACCCAAGGCATCAAATGCATTGCGAGCCGCTGTCATGCGCATATGTGGTTGCCTCGGTCGCTGGCCCCAACAGTGTCCTGTTTTGGCTATTGTAGCCCAAAAGCAGGAGGTGAGCTCTGCTTGGCCCTGGCTTGTTTGGCGCAATGCTTGCCCAGCACCCTTCCAATAAAATCCAGAGCCTGGCTGGGAAAACATCCCCTTTTTGCGGTCACTGACTTTTGGACCCCGCCCAAGCAAAACAAGCTTCGAAGCAAAGAGGGCAAAGTCGATTTCCTATATCTTGCTCTGAGGTCAGCAAAACGGCTTCAACTTTGCTGAAGCTGCGGCGCTTGACGGATTGGTCGCAGCCACTGCCCTATATCTTCAGGATAAATACTATTTCCTTGCCCGTATTTGTTGTATTGATTGGACTTGCAGAGGGCGTGTTTGCAGGATGTGGGCTGCCGATCGAGGCTTTGTGCCGAGCTGGCTGCGCGATCACAGGCAAGCCACCCGCAAGATACCTAGCAGCTCCAGAAACCAGGGACAAGATTGTACGGGCATTTTGCGATCCAGGGCGTTTGTTTGGCCGGCACAGGCATGTTCAAACTTGATCATGCAAGACGTATCGACCAGGTGGAGCTGTCAGACATCAAAGCAGCTGTAAGCGCGAGTGCCATACACTTAGTGAGTGGCATCCTAGGCTTGAATCATGATGCAAACCACGTTTTGCCTGGGGCATTGGAGAATGTGCGGATAAGAGCAGAATTGGACCAGGTTGGTGTTGACATGGACGAGCTGGAGGATGTTGGGATGCTTTGCTTGCACTTCAAGTCGTGTTTTGACAAGGGTCAATGGTTTGCAGTGGGAGGCGCGATGCAATTCTACCTCTAGGTTTAAACATGCATGCCAGGAGGCAGGCACCACGCCACTGATTTGGGACTTCCAGCAGGCAGGTCACCCTCAGGGGAGTGCATGACAGTAAAACGCTGGGCTGCTGACACGAGTTTCCGGTTTGGCAGCAGACCCGCTTGAGGTGCACGACGAGGAAGTTGGTGTGGCAGCTTTGCCGCATTGGTAGTACAAGTGCGTCGGCCGCCGAATTTGCCCGCTAAGGGGCTCGGAGGTGGCACAGAGATTTCATCTCCTTTTGCCGCCCCAGAAGCTCCATCAGCTGGAAGCGTTCCAGAGTGGACGACCACAGCACAGCAGGAGAATCTCCGCTCAGGCCACTTGAGCTTTAATTGGCTACGGCGCCACGCGCAACCGCAACAGAATATGTTGGAAGAACTTGCAGTCAAAGCAGAGAAGAAGGAGAGCCGGGCTGGCGACATAGACATAGAGCAGAACAACGACACGCAATCCGATATCTCTGAGCTGTTTGACGAATAATATTCAATGCCATGTGGACACCTGCTCTTCAAAAGTAAATTGAGAAGAATATGAACTACAATCTGCATCGTCAAATGTGTTCTTAATATGTCAATATGATTGAAATATGGCATACTTTTATACATGTAGGCGCACACGGCATTTATCCGGCTTTGCCAAAAGTGGGTGTGATAGCATGCGGTTCAACTCCTTGCCCGCGCTGAATGGCATAGTGCTGGCGTTCGGTCCGCCCGTTCTCAAGTTAGAATAGCATGTAGTCTTTCCGAACCCGTTCAAGTAGTGGTAGGCACGGTAGAAATGCATTTCCGGTTGTTAAGTTGCTTCTTCGACTTGTAGCTCTATCCTAGAAGAAAGTAAGATATTTTTGGCAGAAGCGAATGGTAAGATTCGAGGCGGAGAAACATCCAAAACCCTAACAGCCTTGAAATAACACTAACTACAACCCTGAAAACCTACAAAGCCTGAAGCTCTAAATGATGGTAAAACGTTTCGCTTTTCCTTGGGAATGTCCTTAATCACTTTCTCTTTACTTTTTTTCCGGGTTCATCCGGTATAATCTCATTCACTATCTATATCATTGATTCCTTCTTGCCCATCATCTGCGGTTCAATCAATGAAGACAGACCAGACAGTGAGAACGGACTAGGAGCTGCGGAAGGAAGGTTATCATCAGCGTCTTCATAGCGGTTTCCTTCCCATCCGCTCCTCAGCTCATTCCTGCCATCATCACGCCTCGTCTCTCTCAGGGTCTTATCTATTCCGACTATTCCACATTGTTGTTACAGTGGGTTGATCCTTTCCACCTCATACACTGTCTAACCTGTCATCCGCTCGTCCACTCTTCCAACTCGCTCACAGAGACCCTCACCTATAGGCACAGCAGACAGGAATCAACCTGCCAAAAGGAATTAATTAGTTGAGTCTTGTCTAGCATGAACCCTTCCCCTTCCACTCCTCACTCACTTCTTTTGTTTTGTCGTTACAGCGGGTTAATCTCTGAGACAGGAGAAGGGTTTGGCAGTCAAGGGTCATTTTCCTTAGACACAGCATGCCTCTGAGACGACCAGACGAGAGAAAGGAGACTGGAGACAAGAGAGGGCTTCCAACATTCCCACCGTTCTAATTCTCTTCCCGCTCCTTCCAAATGTGACCAGCCAATGTTAACTCTGAGAATTGGCTGGTGATAGGTGGTCAGGGTTAATTCAGGCTGGTGCCATGAGAAGCATTTGGTGGTGTTGTGTGATGCGGATTAACCCGCTGTAACGAGAATGCCTCTCCCTAAGTCTCGCCTAACAGTAACATCCAGAGAATAGGCGAGAGGAAGAGAGGAGAGGCAATGGAGTGAAGAAGGGTGTGGGAAGTCTCCTCTCTATCACTCCTCCTCACCCGAGCTACAGGGACTTTACGAAAAGACAAAGGGATGAAAGGAAAGACAAACAGAACGAAGGGGAAGGATGATGATGGATGGAGAATCTCTTTCATATTAACTGTCTCCATCCCATCCTTTCCTCTCATTCCATTCCATTCCTAATTCCCTTCCTTTATTCGGGGAATTAGATGAAATGTAGAATGAGATTATGAAAGTAAATAGCTGGTGATGGGAAGAGAAGGGCCATAAAAAAAATCGGTTAATTGGCCGGGTGAGAGCGTACGAAGGAAGCAGTCAGACCTCACCCCATGGGGATAGCGGTCATCTCACCCATTCCTTTCCTATCTGTAATTCCCACGACGAAGGATGGTCAGGAATTGATAGGTGAGAATGGGTTAAGAGATGAATGGTGGGAGATAGGACACAAGTAAGAGAATGCTATATGAGTCCCCTGTCTCTCTCACCATCTTTCATCTCTATCTAGTTCACCACATATGAGAGAGATGGCCCTTCCTCCACCTACATCCTTTCCTTCGTTCGGTCGTCGGATGTGGGAAGTCCTGAATTCATGGCTTGTCTCACCCAAGAACCCAATGTCAAGAGGCGAGAAAGGGAGCCGGAAGGACAGCCTCTATTCTCCCCCGCACGCTAAAAAGGCTTGGAATGTGGTTATGTTGGAAAGGTCTAGAAATAAAGGGACTGGAAGCATTTGGACCACCCATTGTCTAATACTTCCTCCAACCTTGCAAGTCGTTGCAGCGGTACTCCGACCGAATCGTAGTGCTTGCGGCAAGCGGCTATGTTTGTCTCAGTCTTTTTCCGCGGCACAAGCTCCCGCCTCTTCGCGCGGCCCGAAAGACCCTGAAATTTTGCCGAAATTTCGGGGGGTTCTTAACAACTTTGCTTAGAGTTCTCGCGGCGTAACCCAGCCAAATTTTCCCGAATTTTGCGTCGCTTCCGGCGACGCGGTTCTTGGGTTGCCGGACGTTACTCCCGCAAATTTCTTCAGAATTTGATAGCTTTCCGAAAAAAATTGCCGGGCCAAATTTCGGGCAAATTTGGGGACCTGTCCGAGTCGAAATCTCTCGAAAATTGCGTGCCGGGTGTTTCCGGATCTTTGCCTTTCTTTGTGTCTCCCAGTCTGTTTCCATATATCCGTATTTATCTATTTCGTAATCTCTGTCTTTTACTGTCGATTTATGTATCCTAATTTGTTTCTTTTTGGTAGTTGCGCCTCTCTGTTTTTATTTGTCTGTCTATGTCTCTTTGTCTCTCGGGTTGTCTCGGTTTGTCTCTGTTTGTCTCTATGTGTCCGTGTTTGTCGTTCGTCTCTATGTTTTTGTGATTTTTTGGTGTTTTTTCTGTCTATTTCCGCGTATTCGTGTCTGTCTATTTGGTGATGTCTGTTTATTGTTGTCTCTGTTTTTTTTATTTTTTTGTTTGTGTGTGTTTGTTTCGGCGGGTCGGTTCGTAAAAACGGTATACTTCTACGTTGTTATATGCCGCATCTCCCCCTTTTAAGCTCCACTTACTTCATCTTTTTTTTGTTTTTGATTGTTATTATTGCTCTTGCTTGTTTGCTTCCCTCTTTCTCTCGCTCTTTTTGTTTCTTTTTCTTTTTCTCTTTTTTCTTCTCTCTTTTTGTTATTTCTCTTTTTTTCTCTTTCTCTTTTTTTTGTTTTTTTTTGCCTTTCTCTATTTCTTTTTGTTGTTGTTTTTTTTTCTCTCTAATTTTGTTTTTCTCTTTCGTTTTTTTTTGTTGTTCTTTTTTTTGTTTTTTTTTATATTTTTTTCTCCCTTTCTCTTTTTCTCTCTTTTTCTCTTTGAGAGAGAGAGAGAGAGAGAGAGAAAAAAAAATATTCCTCTTTCTTTTTTTTTCTCTTTCTCTTTTTCTCTCTCTTTGGTGTCGTTTTATCGCCTATAGGATGAGGGACAACTTGTTTGGTCCTATTGGGGCATCGGTTGGTCTTTCCGGAGGTACTCTTGGGGAACAATTGCCTCCACCTCGGGCATCTCCGCTAGAATTCTTTCTCTTTCTTTTTCTCTCTTTTTCTCTTTTATTTTCTCTCTCCTTGTCTTTCTTCTCTTTGTCTTTTTCTTTTCTTTCTTTATTTTTCTATTTTGATTTTTTTCCTTTTTTCTTTTTATATATCTTATTGTTTTGTTTTTCTCCTTTTTTTGTTATATTTGTTTTAATATTTTTATTTTTATTTCTCTATTTGTTTTTTGTTTTTTTTTCTCTCTCTCTCTCTTTTTCTTTTTTTCTTTCTTGTTTGATTTTTTTGTTGGTATTGGTATTGATGAAATTAATGATTTTTTTAATATATTATATATTTGTTATAATTTAATATTGAATTGAAAACAGAAATATAATAAATGGTTTTATTGATAATTATGTATGTTGCTTTTCTTTAAATATGTATTTTTTTGTCTTTAATTATATTTTTTGGGAATAATAATATGGGAATTGTGTGTGATTAAATTAATATATTGAATATATATAATCGATGTATTGTTTAAAATATTAATTATGAATTGATTTGGGAAAATATGGATGGATTGGATATTAAAGACAAATAATTCTTTTGATTCTTTATTCGTATAGTATATTTTATATGTAATATCTTTTAAAATTTCATAGTATATATTTACCAAATTTATTTTTTTTGGATATTTTTTATTTATTTTTTTGTAGAAGTGATATTAAATTAATGGGTAAGATTTTGTTTTGCGATTTTATTTTGTTATTTTTAAATTTTATATTGAATTATGTATTAAAATATATAGATTAATAAAGTAAATTAATTAATTATAAAATTAATATATTGATTGAATTGTTGATTATATTTTTGGATATCGATTAATTAGTTTTTATTTGTTATGGTATATACTATTTTCGACGATATTAAAATTAGATATTAATTATTTTTAATTAATATATATAAATGGTATTTAATTTAATTATATATATGAATGATATAATATAAATTATTTATTTTATATATTTAAATAAAACAAATAAAAAAAATCTTAAAATAATATAATATATTTTAAAAAAAATTAAATAATTCGGTCGAAATATTAATATAATATGTTTAAATAATATATTTTTAATATATATATATATCATATTTTTTTTTAACAAAATATAGTATTGATTGTTTAGTAAAGTTCTACAATTATATATGATCAAGTGCATTTTTATTTCCTAATTATGTATATTATGGTTTTTTATGTTGTCGGTTTTGGTGAGTGAGATAAAAATTTTGATTTCTGGATCGGTTATTATTGGTTTCTATATTATGTGTTTTGGTTTCTAAACCACTCCGTTTTAGCTTCTAAATCGTATATCCGGTGAAAATAAGTTTCGGTTATTATAAAAAAGTTAAGCCAAAACGAATAAAATATATAATTCCTTGTAAATACCTTTTAATTAACCCCCATATATATTAGAAATTAAATTAAAACATATAGATATATTTTTTTATTCATTAAAGGAAATTTCAAAGGAGTTTCCGTGTAACGGCAATTAATTGAAAGTAGCTCTCGTTAAGACATATGAGAAAGAAGGAATAAGCACGCAAGAAAATATATATGTGCGTGTGGTGGGAGTAAGGAATCTACAAAAAGCATGGCCCGGAGAGCTGGAAGCTAGCCTATTCGCGACGTCTGGTCGATGCGCGTTCAGAGCGCATTCGGAATGCTCGGAGCGGGCTCGAGCAATCTCGGACCATCCTGGGAGCGCGGGCCCATTGGCACGGCAACGTGGAGATTTCGCAAGGGTTGAATTGTTAGGGCAGGCATAACAGTGTTCCCAAGATTTGAATAACGTAATAGGCATAATATTTTCGTAAGGTCAGAAATAGATTTCGTAGCATATACAGCACTTTCTCAAAATCAAATACAAATTTCGTGGCAAGCACAATGCTTTCGCAAGGTCGAAATCCAAATGTGTGGCAAACGCGGCATTTTCGCATATTTAAAGATAATATAAATAAATAAATTTAAAAAATAAATTAAAGAGATAAACAAATAGTTAGAGAAATAACAAATAAATAAATAAATAATAATAAAATAATAAATAAATAAATATATAAAATAGAAAAATAAATAACTAACTAACTAGTTAAATAAAAATTGGTAAAAAAAAAATAAATTAATAAATAAATAAATAAATAGATAAATTAAATAAATATATAAATAAATTCATAAATAAAATAAATAAAAATAAAATAAAAAAAAAATAAAAACAAATAATAAATATATAAACAAATAAATAAACCAATAAATAAATACATAAATAAAAAAATAAATATATAAATAAATATATAAATAAATAAATAAATAAATAAATAAATATATGGATAAGTATATAAATAAATAAAAAAATAAATAATTAAATAAATAGATAAATAAAAAAATAAATAAATATATGTAAAATACATAAATTAGATAGAATTAAATAAAATTAAATAAATAGATAGATAAAAATATCAGATAAAGAAAGATAAATCGATAAATAAATAAGTAAAGAAATAGAGAGATAGATAAATAGATAAATAATGAATAGAGAGATAGAGAGATAGAGAGATAAAAACGTAGAAATATAAATATATCGGAAAATAGAAAGAGAGATAGATAGATAGATAGATAGATAGATAGCTAGCTAGCTAGATAGATAGATAGATAGATAGATAGATAGATAGATAAGATAAGATAAGATAAGATAAGATAAGATAAGATAAGATAAGATAAGATAAGATAAGAGATGAGAGATGAGAGATGAGAGATGAGAGATGAGAGATGAGAGATGAGAGATGAGAGATGAGAGATGAGAGATGAGAGATGAGAGATGAGAGATGAGAGATGAGAGATGAGAGAAGAGAGATGAGAGATGAGAGATGAGAGATGAGAGATGAGAGATGAGAGATGAGAGATGAGAGATGAGAGATGAGAGATGAGAGATGAGAGATGAGAGATGAGAGATCAGAGATGAGAG